CCCCCCCCCCCCCCCCCCCCCGGGCTGCCTTCAGTTCTTTCTCTACTTCCTCGACAGGACCCACAGTAAGCTGAGGAGTTAGAAAAGGTTTAGAGGAGCCTTGGCTGGAAAGGTATATCTCGCCCGAGTAATTGGAAAATGCGTGTTGTTTCCTTAGCCGGAATCGAGACTAGATCAATTGTGAGCTGGTTGTGGTGGTATATGCCCATAATCCTAGCCCTCAGATGGCTCAAGGTCTTCCTACTGGTGGTGCAAGCCTTTGATCTCAGCACTCAGGGAGACAGAGGCAGGCGGATCTCAAGTCAGCTGCAGCGCGAGTCTAGGACAGCCAAGGCTGCACAAAAGAAAACAAACAAAAACGGGAAGAGGCTGAGTAGAATTCAAGATGCCTCATGCTACCTTGCAACTTCCAGAAGAATCTTCCTCTAAAATGCTTGATTCGGCCCTAATATGCCACATGACAGCATTAAAAGGTGGGGCCTTTGGAGAAGAGATTAAACTCCGGGACTCTGGCTTCAAAGCACAGGATTAGTGACCTGTTTTTGTTTGTTTGTTTCTTTCTTTTCTTTTGTGACAGGGTTTCTCTGGGTAGCCTTGGCTGTTCTGGGCTCTTTGTAGACCAGGCTGAGCTCGAACCCACAGAGATCCTCCTGCCACCACCTGTGTGGTGCTGGGGGATGAAACCCAGGGTTTAAGTCCCAGTGGGAGCGCTCTGCATCTGTACCACATCCCAGGGACCTTCTTGTGAGAACGGGGAGTAATTTCCACGGTGCTACAGTGTGTGCTCATCTTCATGACATCTGCAAACATCCCATCCTGGGGTTCAAACTAGACAGGAATTTGAAGATCACACCTCTACTCCAAACTGCCAGTACCTCAGCAGGCTGTCAGTCACCTGAGCAATGTTCTCTCTTGCTCAGAACTGCTCCTTGAGAGAGGGTCAGCCTCTTAATCCCTGCAGCCAGCCCACCCATGTCAGGGCTAGCACCTGGTACATGCAGAGCATTTGGCTAACATCATGAATCAGGAAATAAATACAATAGTCTTGTCTGGCTTTCCCAGCAATATGAAACAGCTTTCCAGAGAGTTTGAAAAGGCAGATTTTTCACACATCTTCATCACAGCTCTGACCATCGAATCTGGAGAACTCTGATTGTGATTCAGTTTAAAATGTTCAGTTCGAAACAATTCAACAGCCTTTCTCCTAAAGATAAATGACATCTAATTCTTCATCTGAAACTAAGATTGGGAGGTCCAGTACTACCCAGGTTAATTTAAGTGTCTGGTGCTTGCTGGAAGAAGGGAGCAGAGACTCTTTCTCCACGGAAGGAAGAGGCTCCTCTGTGTGCGCAGCAGGTCCGAGATGCAGAGAAGCAGGCAGCAAAGCTCCAATCCTACAGGTTGACAGGCACAGTCTTCCCCCCCTCCCTCCAGATGCTTGTTTGGCTTGCACAGGATCGCAAAAAGCAAGAGGGTAATGTAGGCTGATCTCTGCGAGCTGGGACAGGTAGCCAGCCCAAAGTCAAGGCCAAATCTACAGCATCAAAAACGCAAGCTTAACGAAACAGGGCTTTGCTTGTTTGTTTAATGGATTATTTTCAGCAGCTGCCTGGGAGTAGAGAGGGGTAGAGAGAAAGACTAAGGCAGCACGGAGAAGGCCTGGCCAGACTGTCTGCACAGGTTAGGGAAAAGGGGCTCCTTCCCAAGACAGGCATCTCCAAGTATATCCCGAAGCTCCCAGTTCTGAGAAGCAGGATGAGGGCCAGGACCGCAAATATGAGAAGATTTAATGAGGAGGCTGGTCAGAGCTACAGACATGAGGAAGAGAAGAGAGCATAACTGGGGTTGAGTGAGCAAGTACATTTTCAGTCCTCAGTGCAGAGAAAATACCTCATTTCATGCATGAGTCAGGAAAAAGACCATGCAGCCTCATCACAGCAAGCACATGGCTTCTGAGAGCTTTATTAGAAAAGGGGCTGTCTTTGTGATCAGCCATAGAGGGAACACACATGGTAAGACATCTCTTGACCCTTTCCTGAGGTTCAGGGGCACCTGGCACAGGTGTAACTCCCCTCTGCCAAAAGCAGGCCTCATTTCTTGTTTTTAGCAAAATCTCAATCACTCGATTTTACCAATAAACACTTGGATGCCAGATGCTGGAATGAAAGCCTGCTAGCTCAAAGAGAGGCAGAGAAAGAACCCAGCTGACTTTCCTCCTCAGCTGATGATGTCCCCAAAGAAGAGAAAGCTCCTTCCCCACAGTGTCTCAAAAAACCCTCAAACCGAATATCTCTCCCTTCTACTTCCTATATGTCGCCCTATCCGACCTGGCTTCCTCTTAGTCCATCTGATTTTCACCTGTGTTTACCACCTGCCAACTGGCTGCTTGCTCCGCCTCGTGACCAAGAGTTGACTTTATGTAATCCTGTTCACAATACTCAAGCAGAAGACTCTTGTGTATGTGTGCCAGGTGTGTGCTAGGGCTGAGCCACATCACAACTAGAAACAGGTTTTTCAAGTAAACAGCACAGTCTTGTGGTTCACTTTGTGATCAAATATCCGGCAACAATTTCTCCCTTCTCTGGCCTCAAGCCTCTACAGAGGTCTTTTTCCTTCCCTCTGGAGAACTGCTTTCACAATTCCTTGATAACTTTCCCCTGTGTTGCTTTACCTAAAAAGTCGATTTCTCCAGCACACCTGGAGTCATCTTGCTGGAGGCAAAATTCTAGGTTAATTCTCATTTCGAAACTTTGAATGTTTCCCTCCACCCTTCCTGGTGTGTGGCGGCGGATGATTGGTCAGCAGTCGCTGTTGCCTTTTCTTCTTGTTCAATGGACAAAGTATCCCTTCCCTCAGCAACTTTGAGATTTTCTGGGTTTGCTTTTCTGCAGTTTAGAATATGCATACTGATTCATGTTAGCTGAGTGCTTCCATATCCCAGGTGGTAGGCCTGACATGGGCTTCCCCGGGTGAAGGACCAATCAAGGGCTGGCCCTCTCTCAGGAAACACAGTTCTCAGAGGAATATTGCTGAAATGATTGAAAGCGTGCTATCGTGCTGGGTGTGTGATGGGAATACCACCCTCAAATTGCAGTTCTTTTTAAAAATATTCTCTCTCTCTCTCTCTCTCTCTCTCTCTCTCTCTCAAGTTTCACTCTGTAGCCCAGGCAGGTCTTGAACTCTCACAGATCCACCGGCCTCTCTTACTAGGGTTAAAGGCATGTGTCCACACCCACAGCTTTCTGACTTGCTAGGAATTGCTTTCTCTCTTGTCCCTCCTTGCATTTTAGTGTGGGAAGTTTCTTATAACTGTATCTTTATTCCATGGACTCCCTCAAAAGAATTCTTTAGTTCTACTAAAAGAAGTTTCACAGGAGCACTTTTTTTTTTTTTATTGTAAAGTTTCCTGTGAGTTTTTTGTTAGCAGCATCTTTTCTCTGCTTTCAAGGCATGTCTGTCAGTCAGTCTGTCTGCTCACCTTTTACCTCAGAGTCCTGCACATATGAATCACAGGTAGTTGGAATTCCCAACTGGGACACCCTAAAGTATCTGCTCCAATGCTCTGCTACTGAATTTTTTTTTTTTTTAAAACAGGGTTTCTCTGTGTAGCCTTGGCTGTCCTGGGCTCACTTTGTAGACCAGGCTAGCCTTGAACTCACAAAGATATGCTTGCCTCTGCCTCCCATACTGCTGGGATTATAGGCGTGTGCCATCATGCCGGGCTATGCTTTTGAATCTTGCTTAGTTTCTTTAGATTTTTTTTTCTTTTCCTACCATGTGCCTTGTAATTTCTTGTTGAAAGACAGGAGTCTGGCAACAGGAAGCTTGGTCTTTGGTGTACAGTGCCACGCTTAGCGGGGTGACCTGCTTACTGCTGGCTGTACCTGGCTGTCACGGCTGCCTTGTCCCTCTGAAGCCATGGAGGCATCCCACCACCTGCCCATAGCAGCCTGAAGGGTTCTTTTGATCTTTTAGGAAACTCTACTAGGGCCAAAGCAGCACTCATAGCTTTTGCACAGTGAAGATTTTAAGGATGAGCCAGTGTGGAGTAAAGTTGGGTTTTTATTAAAAAAAAAAACAAAGAAAAAAGAAAGGTGCTTAGGAAGAACTAAAGCACATTTCAGAGCACAGATGAGGTTGCTCAAAATAAGAGTTGATCAGAGACACTTTGAGCCTACATTAAACATTTAAATAAACATTAACATTCAGTTAAAGACATTAAATCCCAAGGAAATAAAGGAGAGATGCTTTGGGAAAGAATAATACGCGCCCAGATGCAGGTGTGGGCATCGTAAGAGAGAGGCACCATCACTTGTGCTAGCATTAGCCATGTATATACCCTTTCGGGGCTCTCGTGTCACATAAGAAACCTGTCCCCCTCTTTTCTCTTTGCTTTTGGTAAGTGAGACTATAGGGTGGCTCCAGAGGTACCCTGAATGGCTTTGCAGTCTGATAAGGTAAAGGCAGAGTCACAATGAAGGGCTTAGGATGTGTCTTGCTGTATGTGGAGTTTAGGTTAAGAATCCTAGAAAACTATAGATTTGTAGCTGGAGAAAGGCCTCAAGAAAATGTTAATTTTACTAAGATTTATTTGTTGTGTGTGTGTGTGTATCATGTGATCGTGGTACATGGATGGAAGCCGGAGGACAACTTTTGGGAGTCACTTCTCCTCTTCCACCGTGTGGACTAGAGCCCAGGTCATCGGGCTTGGCGGCAAGCACCTTTACCCACTGAGCCGTCTT